AGCTTCATCTATGAGGAAGCCATAATAATTTAAGCAATGTGCAAATATCTAATTTGCCTACTTTAATGATGAGGAAGAAATTTGCAAATTTCCAATTTGCACGCTTCAATGATGAGGAAGCAAGGTGCAAATTTCTAATTTGCACACTTTCAAGAAACATCGTGCAAAATTAGATTTCGCTCCTAAACGTTCTTCTATGAGGAAGCAATGTGCAAATTTCTAATTTGCACACTTTCAAGAATAATTGAAAAAAATTAGATTTCGCTCCTAAACCTTCCTCTATGAAGAAGCCATGTGCAAATTTCTAATTTGCACAATTTACTTTACTTTACTTTACTTTAAATTTTTATTTATTTGCTACTTATGCAAAATAAAGCATCTGTTCTGCGTCTTTTTTTATTTATTCAAATGATTCGAACGAGAATTCGAATAAGTGCTAGAGACAAAACCATACGTATAAAATTTTGTCAGTTTATATTTAAAAGGAAGACTTTCAGCATTCTATATAATTATTTTAATAAATGCCTATTTTTAAAATATAAAATATAAAGTATATTTGATACAATAATTTCAATTTTTCATGATTAGTCTATAATCATATGTATATTTGTATTGTTACAGTTTAACATATATACCTAGTTGACAATGTACAACTGTGCTGTTGCGAGTCGTATCAGTGAGTGAAAAATTACTTTTCATTTTAAATTGACGTTGCGCATACAATTACTTCTCTTTGCATGTATACAAATTCTTAAAAATATACAATGCTGAACTACAAACTGCGCGCGCGGAACGCGCGTTTTGTCATTTCTAGTAAACTATAAAAGTGATATGAGAAAACAATATACATATTACAAACATAATTGTATCAATATTTTAAAATAATATTGCTACAACATATTACTAAAGTAATATTGTAAAATAATGTCTCTGCAATATCTATGTACATTACACTGCAAGATGCAATGTTGCAATCTTGTGGCAATGTTGTTGCAAGCTTTTGTGTTGTATGGGTAATATCTGCGAGGAAATTATTTATAATTAAGATGCACAATAAACGCGCGATAGCAGATACGATAAAACTTCTTGCATGCACATACTTTGTATCTCCGTAGGAGCTGTTATAGTGATAATTATATCCATCGTACAACAGTTTTGGTATTTGAAGTCTTGCTTTATTATATTTTCGTCTTTCTGTCATATTTAATAAAAATATTACAGAATATTAATACTTTTAATATTAATATAGTGCACGACAGTCGCGATAACCAAGTTGTGATGAAACAAATGATTAAACAAATTAAATTAATCAAACAACACCGAGTAAAATAATTGTTTTGCAAAAGTATATAAATTATTATCAGTGTAATTACTACACTTATTATGTGTGTAATTTTACATACTCTTTTTAGTGTAATTAGTATTCGTCAATATCAAATAATCTGAAACAGTCCAACTTGCGTAGAAAATAAGACCACTAAAATAAAATTTGTCTAGAATGAAACGTAAATAAAAGTAAATAAAATTTACTTAGAATGAGAAGTAAATAAAATTACGAAACATAAACGTTGGTGCTCGACGCAGCAGAAATTTTTTGAAACAAATCAAGTTGCAAAATTTACGCCTAAACACACGTACAATCGTTTATATTCAATAAACAAATAAATCAATGTGTGCACAAGAAAAATAATACAAATGACGATAAGGAATAGAAAAAACGTGAACTCGCAGGGCACGAGTTCATTATTAATTAATACTAACGATGCCTAATCTCCAGAAATCAAACTTGCACAACAAATTACATTTATTTCTAGAATCCGAATTGATAATTTAGTAAATGTTTCTACCCCCCCCCCTCTCTCTCTCTCTCTCTGTCTCTTCCTCATTGCTTTTCTAAATTGAAGAATGGCAATCAGTGAACTGCACTTCGTCCATGGGACGTTGCCTGCGAAAGCGGACGGGAGGTGTAATGAAAAACGAGAACGGATTGCATGAATAATCGATTAATTCCTTTTATTGCATTCACAATCGCGTATACATGTTTGTTCAAAGTAATCCGACGACGTGATTAGTAGATGAGAAAAGAACCGTGAATGTGTCGGTGCTCGTTACAAGCAAGGATCTCGTCGAGCTGTGGTCGACCTGCGAGAATTCACGTTCCTGAAATGCGCGCGTACTCGCGCGCGATTCATGTTCGACGAATAAATAAATAAATAAATAAATAGGCGAATAAATAAATAAATAAATACGTATACAAGAGTAAAACGACGGGGCGTTACAAACGGCCGGCAAATAATAAGTAAGGAACGTGGACTCGCGTGGACGCAGAGCGAGTCCGATTAATACTAACTAAAAATAATCTCCAAGACTTATGAAATAAAAAAAAACTTACGAAATAAACAAAATTCGCCTGGAGCTCGAAAATCAGAAGACATTAATATCGCGTTGAGCCACGCGACCGTCATTGCGACGAACCAGTACGCCCCTCTATAGTCTAACATAAATTATTATCCTTGTATCGACGTTACAAAGAGAACGAGAAAAGAAAGAAAATAAATAAAAATACGTAAATGTACATGGCCGAGCCCGGAATGCAATACGTGTCGCTCGCGTCGCGACGTAAGGGCGGTAAGGGCCTCAGGATCCACGATTAGCATTGATCCTGATCCTTCGCGCGCAGAAGAAGACGCGGAGCAATTTCTACGTAAATCGCGTCTACGAGAACAATCACCTTAACCCACCAGGGTAAATTCGCAAGATCCTCCTAACGAACGCCGTCTCGCAATCGCGGGGAAAATCCCGCGCTCGGGGAACAGCGCGATCGATCGCGATCGTTGGATTCGGTCGATCGTTCGCGGCAAAGCAAACGTTGTGTGACGTAAAGGAGATTCGCGTAAAGTAAAACGTCAACGTTTTAGAAAAGCGAAACTGCAGACGTTTCTCTCTGTCGCCTCAAGGCCGAGCGATCGCGCGTCCCGCGCGGAGGAAACCGACGCGATCGGGAAAAGCCGGTCGAAATGATGTTGCACTTTCCTGCGAGACTCTTGTGGAAACGCCTTTCAACCGTTAGGGTACATCGGCGTGATATTTCTAAAAATTCTTTGAAATTCATGATTAATCTTGATTGAACACCGAATCCAACACTAGGCCGTCAATTCACGAAAACATTTATGCAATGTACAAACGATGTGGCTTTTGTGTACGGACCGACGGTGTTCCACCAATCGGACTAAAGCAGAGCACGGCACGGTATCGTTGAAATTAAGTTCAGAAGCCTAACAAGAAATCTACTCACTAAGAACCTAGTCAAGTGAATAGATCTTTTGTCGGGCTTCTCAACTTAATTTCAGCGATACCATGCTGTTTTCTGATTTAGTCCGATTAGCGGAACACTGTCGGTCCGTACACAAAAGCCACGCAATTTGCACATTACGCGAATGTTTTCGTGAATTGACAGATCTAGGCGCGAAAAGTGCACAAGGTGCAGAATCACTCAAGCGTCCCCCGCTTCGAGCGCTGAATTTTTTAGGCTTCCCTCAACGGGAAAATATGCGGGACGCGGACCGGAACCGAGGACCCTACCATTGCCAATCGCTCGTGTTTCCGCGAACGAAGGAACGACCGATCGAGCAAGCGGAATTGATAACTCGCCGGATGCGAGGAGCGTCCCCGGGCGGGTTCGAGAGCGTGTCTTGTGAATTGTCACGTTATCGGGAATACTAAGACGGCGTTCACATGTAAAATACTGTTTTCTCGTTAAGCCTCAAATACTTAAATGGAGAGCGCAGCCTGGACGCGATCGTGCCGCTTCTCCCCCGGGGACGCGGCACGGTACTTTGCACGGTAATTTCGCCGTACGCTTTCCGCTCGTCCCCCGCTGCTGCCGTCCAAGTCCTCTGCGCGTAACGCACACCTGATCTACGCTCGTCGATAGTTGATTACTTATTTCTTAAGGGGATCCTAAAGCCGCTGGTGGACTCGATCAGTGTCGATAAGATAGAAGTCAATTATCGACATTTTCAATTTCAAGTTCTACTCAGTCCGAGAAATTTATAGCCAATCAGTTTGCAACTCTTACGAAAAAGCAGCAATTTTATTGGCTACATTGCTCAGGCCGAGATTTTGGATCGAATTCTAGCATCGTCGAGACCGTGGCTTTACTGACAATCTGACAGACGTTTGGCAGCGACCTCTCTCCAAAAAGCCTGCAACTATTTCTACACGCTGTACTGCTCTTTTCCTCTTCTTCTAGACTTAGATCTCTAGACTTGCGTTTATTACAAGTAATCTTTTTTTCTAGGCTATTAATCTTGGTTCTAATTGCACGATATTGTTCTCATATGTTGACCTAGAGTATACTGGTCGCATTTTGCATACATTTATTGTAGAATTCCTGTATCAAGCAAATATTGTCGTCAAGTGTACTAAAACTTAGTAAAATTAAAAAATTTTTTTCGTTTTTCATATAAAGTCGACCAGCATAGTCTAGATTTTGCTGCGTGTTTTGATTCCGTAAAAGAGTTTTGCATTTCTATAAAGCCAATTAAAAGATTACTTGTAACAAAGAATGTCGGTAAAACAGATGGCTTTAGGATTCCCTTAAGGCGTAAGAGTTCATAAAGAAACTGGAAGCTCGGACGGAGGCTAGTCCGTAGTCGTCGACGGATCACGGCTGAGAGATCAAATTAAATATGCGTGTGTGCTTGTTTCGCGCGCGCGCGCGCGCGCGTGTGTGTTGCTGCGTGTGAGCATGTGTGTATCTTTTTAATTGTCCTACTTCCTCCTTCCTCTCCCTCTCTCTCTCTCTCTCTCTCTCTCGCACGCTCGTTTCTCCCCGTTGTCTCTCTTCCGCCTCTCTTTCCTGACTTTCGCCTCATTCTCGAGCGACTCCGAGCCTCCGAATTAAATCAACTGATAGTCCCTTTGTTCCTGCCGCGGATCCTCCTTCTGCAATTGAAACGGGGGAAAATGGAATTAGTTCGGGTGTTGGAGACGAGACCGGCTCGCAATTACAAAGGTGACTCTCGCAAACGTATTTATCGCGACGCGGAGCGTCGTCTCTCCCCCCCGCGGATTCACGTAGATCTCACGCGCACGCCTACGAAATGCAAACGCAACGCTCGCAGTCGCGTCTCACGTTTCCTACGTAAGAGAGGGGAAAAAAAGAAGACGCATCAACGAGAGAACGAACGTCACGAGGCGCGAACGTCACACATTGCGTCTCGGGTGGCGCCGCTAATTACGCTCCGCAGCTCATTAGATTTCAACGACACGCGTTCCGCCGGTCCGATCTTTCTTCGTCGTCGAAATTATCTGCTCGAGCGAGCGCATGATAAACGATCGGGTTCCCCGGAGCGCGGAGGAGGAAACCGCCGGCGACAGTTGTACTCCGAGAGCGTCGCGGCGTCTCGGTCTCGCGCGCGTGAAACGCGCATCCCCGAAAATGGGACGACCGTAGGAAGAGGCTGCGTCCGATAGCGTGCGGCACCAATGTGCTTATTATCGCGCGAAAGTTCGTAACTGCGACATTTGCGCGGAACAATGGGCGCGATAAGCAAATTATAAGCGTATCCAGTATCGCGCGTATCGAGCTTCCGTATCGATATCGTCCTGCACTCACCCACGGTAAAGGACGAATCTGATCGGACTGGTCCGCCGTTGACTCTGCGTCTCGGGCAATGAGCAGCAGGAGATGATGCAATTTTCGAAGATTGTCCTCCGAGATGGATCTCCGTTTACGGCCTCTGCGAGCATAATGGTAAAACGGTGTGAAAAAGCTGATCGACCGAACGCAGATCGTCAATTGATCGTCATTGATTACACTGAGAAAAATTTTCGTCGGATAAACCGGTTAACTAGTGTTTCCGATGGCTAATTTTGCCGATTACGTTTCCCGATTAAACGGATACATGCGATCAAATTTATCCGCTGAAACGTAGTCACCGATGAAATTTGATTTAAAAAATTGTGTTTGATCGAACATTTTTCTCAATGTACTGTTAGTTTTGCACACGGAAGGGAAATAATGTTAGGTGAAACGTGGGACAGTAAAACGAGCAAAAGTGTAGATTCGGATAATGTAATTCGATTTTAAACGACGCATAACAGGTGCGACGAAGGGGCAGCATTGAAATTGAAAGCATGAATGAAGCAATAGCGAAATAAACAAGTGAATAAAAGGTAAATAGAAAAGATCAACGGTCAATTTTATACGAGGCTGTGATAACGAAACGAGATGAAAAAGGAAAAATGTTGCGTCGAATCCTGGGAGACTCTTGTGTGCCTTTCTATCTTAAATTTTCGTCGACTCGGGTCCTAATCAAAATTTTAAAGATGAAAAGAGTTGCTCTCTTTCTGAAAATGTAGTCGGCGATAGCACGGGAAATCTGGGGAAAAAAGACGGAGATCGAACGTGAAGATAGGAAAGTTCGTGACCTTTTCACTCACTTCTTACTGACGATATCTCGTCTGTCTTTTTTGAGTAGAATAAGTCGATACGATTACCGAGTGTTCTACAACGAGAATTCTGTTCAAAAAGGTAGACAAAGTCACTTTGCAATCTCTTCCTTTTTTACCTCCCGCTTAAAAGAGCGACTCTTTTTGACCCCAATTGCCGTCCGCAAATGTTGATTAAAACGGAAAAGCGCGTAGAGATCTTAATAGGTTAACAACATTAGCCGACAGCAGTCCAATTGGAGACGAGACACTCTCGTCCGTTCAATAACGACACAGACGAAACAAATACGTCATATTCTTATTTTATCAAAACGTTATTCGTTCCATTAGCGCTGCTATCGAATTTACGAGACCTGGTTGTGAAACACCTCTTATCTCTCGCGCTCCAATAAATTTATTATTATTATTAATGTTCACAACAAATAATTCAAACGCAGTCCGGCCGGTCGCCACGACGGCGATAATTTTTAATATACGCTTCAATAACACGCAAAATTTCCGTCAACGTCGAGCTTCTGTCCCCTTTATAGAAACAAACGGCTGCGTAAATTCGCGCGGTCATCGTGCCGAACGTTTGCGCGCCGAAAGGCGAGAGGAGAGATAACGCCATCCGACGCAACAGTCATGCAATCGTCATGCAATAGTCATGCAATCGCTGAGGATCTGCCAAGTAATAATATCCGACGGGCTTTTATCGCCTGGGCGTTACGCGCGAGCGCGCGAGGACGCGTAAATTACGCGGCTCCCGGCGAGCGCTGGCAATATCTGTCGTCGCATAATTTGTTTATCGAAGCTCAATTAATTGCCATCCCGATAACGTCGTCGCCGAGATAGGCGGGAAAGAGGTCTCGCGTAATAATGGGCGACTATTAGCGAGACAAGGCGCGTAATATTGCGCGCGTGTAGGTCGAGGTATTTTTAAATCCCGTATCAATTCGCGTATCGCGCTGCGCCGTCTACCGCGCCGATCGCGGCCCCCGGTCGCTCGTTTGCCTCTTAAGTGTACTTTGAAGGGGTAAAGGAAGAGGCGCCATTGATAGAGGAAAATCGTCCGAAATCCAACAAATCGCGCGACCCCCTTTTTTCTCCCTGCACCCAGGAAAAGTTTATTTGAAATGAAACCAATGTTCTTTGAATTTTCATCTTACTTTTATTTGATTTCAAAGAACAGATTTCGTCACCCTAATCTAAATTTTATTTGATCGAGGCTGGAATCCCTAAGAGAATTCATATCTATTTCTTCGAATCTAGTAAATGAGTGCGTTCCGGCGAAACTTTCCGCCGCAACTGTAGCGGAACTTCTTCCTCTTCATTGTTGCTTTCATCTGACGAATCGTCGAGCAATATGTCATTCGTGAGCCAATCGTCAATATTTTCCTTTCTATTTGTTTCAATTAAACAATCGGTAAACGCGACTCTTACAATTAAAATACAATTTTGAGCTTACGCGCGCTAATGTAAGTATCGCGCCGCTACAAGTGTAGCAAAAAAGCTGCAGCGCTACGGTAGCAGTGTCTTGCCGGAACGCACTCATTGTTTTAGTAGAAGTAAATAAAAATTTAGCAGATTCAAAGAAACGTGATTTCAATGTGTCTCATTTGTTTGGCCCAAATAAATCTGTTTTCTGGGTGAGCGCTGCCTGATACTGATCGCGGCCCCCGGTAGTTCTCTTTTACCTCTTAAATGTACTTTGAAGGGATAAAAAAAGAGGTGCCATTGATAGAGGAAAATCGTCCGAAATCCAACAAATCGCGCGACCCCTTTTTTCTCCCTACACCCAGAAAAGTTTCTTTGAAAGGAAACGAATTTTCTTCGAATTTTCATCTTACTTTTATTTGATCTCGAAGAAATGATTTCTTCACCTTAATCAAAATTTTATTTAATCGAAGCTGGAATCCCTAAGAGAATTTATATCTACTTCTTCGAATCTAGCAAATGTTTTAGTAGAAGTGGATACAAATTTAGTAGATTCAAGGAAACATGATTTCAATGTACGTCATTTGCTTAACCTGAACGAATCTTTTTTTCTGGACGCACAATTGGAAGCGAAACCGGGAATTCCCGACATCTTACAGTCAAAATCCGTGTTTCATCAAACTTTTACGTCACGGCCTTGGACCATTTTTTATTTAATTTGCACGCATTATTTAATATTCCGTCGTTCTCAAATACACGAGCTGTTACATATGCGATTACACAATAATGGAAGGTGCGAGCGAAGAAGTCAAGTCTCGAACGGCGGCTTGTCAATCATCGGAGGGTACAGTATACACACGTTCGACGATATTCACGTCCCGTGTGTTAATTACGCACGCGTCGGACATCGTCGCTGACATCGTAAATATCGTCAATTAATTTACGCGCAGTAACGAGACGAGAGCGGCGCGGTATCGTGCCGTTCACAGAGTCCCTTTTCACGGGAGAGACGGACGCGAACAACATCCGGATAGAAATTTATTCACGAGGCATTCAACGAGAAGTAACCCAGTTAGAGGGCTCCATTTGCCTTCTCCTTCTTCCGTCCGCTCTTTTTCTCTTATCGATAGCCTCAATGCAATTATGTTACTCAGCAAAAGCGCCGTTGCATCACAATTTGCAAGCGCCTTCGCGTAAGCGCTCCTTTTGTCCTTTTCTTTTCGAGTACTTTTTGCGAGAATCGATAGCGTGCGTAAGCGCACACCGCGAGAGGGAGACGGGATTATCGACGAAAGTGGTACCAGCCGAAAAACTTTGCCCGTTGTATCGCCTCGCCGTAGCTTAAGATATTTTCTCCGCGCGAACGTTCGACGCGCCATTTTCTTCGTTTTCCTTGCATTAATTTTTCAATAAGTTGCGGGCGAACCCGCCTTGCTTTAGTTTCTCTTTTCTCTCGTTTCATCCCGCTTTCGTAGTTCTGCCGCGCCGTGTGCAAGCTATTTAAAGGTTCGAGGGAGAAGCAACAAGTGTAATTGCGGCCGATGAAATCTCTAATGGCGTTGTAGGCGATATTGAGGGTTTATCTGCCGTTGATTAAAAATTCGGATCAGCGGCGATAAAGACAAGTTAAATGTCGCCGTTGTGACGCGATTTAGCAAGAATTTTAATATCGGGGATACTTTGCGTTGAAAGTACTCGCAACCAGAAAGGCAGATTTAGTTAGGTTATGTTGAACAAACAAGATGCGTTGAAATCGTGTTTCTTCGAATCCACTGAACTTTTATTCACTCGTGAGTACTAAAACATTCGCTAGATTTGAAGAGATAGATATAAATGTTCTTAGAAATTGCAGTCCGCGGAATAAAATGGTAGTTTAAGTGAAGAAATCTCTTCTTTGAGATTCAATAAAAGTGTAGTAAGGTCAAGCTTCAAATTTGTATCATTTCGAGCAAACTTTTTCTGGGTGCAGCAGCGATACGAATACGCTCGGGAAAAGGACGGATTTTCTACGTCAAGACGGAGGTATCGCACTTATCGTGACATGGCTAACTTCCTCGTGATTACCGCCTAATCCCGTTTGCTTTACTCGCGATGGCACGAAGACGAAAGTCGGCAAACCTGAGAAACGGGGAGGATTTTATCTCCGGAACTGTCGATCGTATTTTTCGCTCTCCCAAGTTACGAGAAAGTTCCTCGCGCGAGCCGTCACGCTTGGAAATATATTTGAAAAATTAATTGTATAATTCTCCACGCTATTCGTAATGCAACCGTCTTTCGCGCGATTACGCGCGTTTAACTTTGTCTTTCGTTCCGACGGCGGAATTAAATTTGTCGAATTTCAGCGAACAGACGGCTTTAATCCTAAAATTATTAACATCTTGTTGTCTTTTCCAAGTGCGTTTAATAAAACGCGCGTAAAACGCGATTGTGCTTAGAAATACATTGATAAAATTAATGATGCAATTCTTATCGCGCAACAATTAATTCTCTCACGATTATGGTTTAATTTTGTCTGCGTCACGATGGCGCGCTAATTAATATGTCAAATTTCAGCGCACGGGCGATTTTTATCTTAAAACTAGTAACAGCATCCGTTTGCCTTTTTCAAATGCGTTTGAGAGAAAGTCCCGCGTGTAAGCGACATGTACTTAGAAACGTGTTTAAAAAGCTCAGAAAATTAATGATATAATTCTTATCGTATTACGATTAATTTTCTCGCGATTACCGTTTAATCTCGTCTGCGTTACGATAGCGCACAATTAATTTGCCCAATTTCAGCAGTGGACGACCTTAAAACCGTTAATCGCATTTTGTGTCTTTTTGAAAGTCGTTTAAGAGAAAGCACAAGTGATTGCGCTTAGAAACATACTGAAAATTTGACAAAATTAATGGTACATTTCCGGCGATTAAACTTGGCAAATTTTACGGGCGATTTTTATTTTACGTGTTAACAGGTAGTTAAATAGGTAGCGTTTCCTTGTCGCCTTGAAATGGAATAGTTTCAAAGGGAGCGATTGCGCAGGAATAGAAAATTTAATAAAGCGAACGGTGCGCATGAATGTCGATTGATTAGATTCGAGGCTGAACTTACAAGACAGCTGGGTTTACTTTTCCGAATCCCACGGGAACAACAACGCCCTTCACATTTTGCAGCGCCAACAGCGTCTCGAGCTCGGCAAGTCTCTGGTCGGAAAGGCGTTTCTGCCGACTGCAACACAAATCGCGAAATGTTACCAAAATATTCTCGTAGGACCGAGTCCAGGGTTGAAACGCGCGCTTGACTCCTCTCTCTCTCTCTCTCTCTCTCTCTCTCTCTCTCTCTCTCTGGAGATTATTTCTACGGAGATTCAAATTCGCGCAGCCGTCAACAACCGCGGCGGTTTTAATCTCGATATATGGCCGGAGAAAAAAAAAGACGTGTCCGTCGCCTCAATAGCCGCGCTAATCTCGCGAGCGGTACGCACTGCAGATAGAGCGCGCGACAAAGCTCCGGCTTACGCTCAACAAACACGATATCGTCGCGTGCGGAGGTCTCAAAGAGGAAGTCGGTCACTCCGTTCGCGGGCAGAGAAATCAAGATCTATGCCGCATTATCGCCCGTGCTATTCGCACCCGCACTGAATTAAGGCGTGCTGTCCCCCCAAATGAAATTGTACTGTACTCCGAATAGATCCAATTTCACGCCGGGAACGGCACCGCGGATGCCGATCGAAGACGACTGACGGCGCGTAAGAGCCGAAACGAGGATCGGTCCGAGTCCGGACCCCACGCCGGGAGAAAGCCGGCGGTGTCGCAACAATTCCCACGATAATCGCCCCACGGCGACCTCTCCGACTCGCGATTCCCCCCCAGATTCCCAATTCGATCCTCTCCTCCGTACCTCAGAAGCCAGTCGCGAGAAGGCCTGGCGTGCGCCGTTTCCGACAGCAGGACCGCGAGCAGGACGCACAGTATCGGCGCGCCGACCGACAGATTCATCTTCGCCCGCGCCACAGCCGAGATCCGCGAAAAACAAGCGGGGAGGTCGTTCGCCACTCGAGGGTCCACTCGGTTGTCACACACTTGTATCGCTCCCTCCTTCCGGCCACCCCCTGATTCTACCCCGCGAGGACTGTCCCTTTGGCCACCGATATATCGCGCTCGGTACGATCGCACGTCGCGCCCACGAGTCTTTCTCTCGCGTCGATTTCGCCTCCTGGTGAACTGTAGCTAGCCACGGCCGCATCGGGCATATATACCCGCGTTACCGCCCTCCCTATCCCCACGCCGTCGCCGACGGCGAGGACCGTCCCCCACTTCATCGGCGTCGGATCCACCCTCGCTTTTTAGCGCGACGTACCCGCGGTCCTCTTTCCCAAACTCGCGGACACGCTTTCTTCCCTCTTTCTGCCCTTCGGCGAACCGTGCACGATTCTTCATTTCCCCTCTCGACCCCCCCCCCACCCCCGTGGCGAGGGGGAACGCGCGTCACATTTGAATGTATCGCGCGACGATACGCGCCGTGAGGCTCTCGTGTCACGCGCTCGGCAGGCTCTTCCTTCGCTCCGATCGTAAAATCGACGTGTGTCCTTTGGAGGTTCGGTAATTGGACGATTTAAAATCAAACGGGGACGACGGAACCGTCGCGACGCAACGAGCGATCTCGCCGGAGGTGTACGAAGTCCCCCCCCCGGACTGTATCGCCCTGGGATTGACTCCTTTCCGGCTCCCGTGCTTGTTCGCGGTGCCTCTTTACGCTCGTAAAATTTGCCGGACTCGTGATTACCCAACTCGAGGCAATATCTCGAGTACTTTGAAACTAATTACGACGGCGCGTACTTAAAAACTTAAATTACTCCCTCCTTTGTGCGGTATATACGAATTGCGGCGATTCTGCGTCACGCCGCGCCGGCACCCACGTCGCCGTTCAGGCCCGAAGAGGACAAAGGTCCTCTGCCACCGGGATCCGTCTCGCGCCTCGCCTGAGAGAGACAGGTTTCTCGGCAAACGCAATATTTCCTTAGCGACGTACGGGATGGATGAGTAACGGGAGATTAATAAAAGCGATGAGGCCACGTCGCGGGGAAAACGGAAACAGTAGCGTGGGAAATGGATGTTTTTCAACGACGGGGAAAGAGAAGGGGTGAAAACCCGGTTTAAGTATTAGTTGTTTCGCGACAGTAATACTCAAAAGTTTCCAAACAGGAACCAGCACTCAATTATTATGATATATCTCGATGCAATTTTGTTCCAAAGAATACACTTACGATTAGTACGTAACATAAAATAGATTCGAAAGATTATAGTTTGAGGCGCTGTTGCCACATCTCTTACACTCATATCTATTATACTACACCATTCTTCCCGTTTTTCAGTTTTAACCGTTTATATTGTTGAAACGGAACAGTCAATAATTTTGATTTTTTTTCCCAGTTATTCGTTCTATTTTACTTTATAACACATTTGTTTCTCACACGAATCCCATTCACCGTTAAACTTAAAAAAATTAAACGCGCCATCATTTGCGTTTGCAAACGCAAGTACTAATATTTTAACGCTCAATAATATGTGTAAATAATATTTTAACGTGTTTTACACGCAATATTTCGTGTAACATAGCAAGCTTTAAAAATATTCATAGAACTTTGAGGGTCAACTTTAATTTAATTAGTTTTATTTTGTAACTGTAAAAATTTGAAACAATTCTCACATAAATTTTACGAAATAACTACCTTAAGGGATCGTCATCGGTTCTTCTAATTGTCGACTTCCGTCTCGATAAATGGCTTACTATTATCACTCTACGTTTCTCCTCGTTTAGAATTTTACTGAAAAATATGACAAACATGAGTAAAATTAATGCGTTAAAATAAAATTAATCGTTTCGAAATCGCCCATGCTCCGCCCTCTACTCTCTAAAAGTCAATCAGTGCACTGAGAGAAATATCCGAATTAAATATAATCGGATAATCCGATTACATAAGAACAAACGGATATATCCAATTAAATTGTATACCCGATGAAAAATGTGATCGGTTTTTCGATCGAATTTCGTCAGAAAAGTTAATCATCGGAAACACTATTTAATTGATTTATCCGATGGAAAGTTTTCTCAGGCGCGCATTATCACTGATAACAGTTGCAAGTATAGCACTGAATTATGTATTTAGTGAATATTTACTGCTTTCAGTGACACTTAATCCACTGATTGACTGTTGGAGAGTAAGTTTAAGTACTTTATTTCCCACGATAGTGGCTGTTATTGATTCTCCTTATTACGCGATATATTATATAATGCTTTTCGTATGGAAAAGATCAAAGGGAACGTATGAAAGACTATAGAACGGACACAGGAGTGCTTCTTCCGTTGAATTCGTTTCAGCGTATGTTGCCCGAGCAATCGAATGCATTTTATTTCACTCGAAAATTATCCAAATGTTGCGTAATATATCAGTAACGACCAGTCGCGGAAAGAATATTTATCGATAAGGCATCGATGTGCCAGCGTACCGGACTTCGTAAAGAATCCTCCTTTCAAATATATTTATTCCAACTTATTGAAATCGCGCAGCAGCCATTAAAGCGTCGAATGAGGTGTCAAGGTCGAAAAATGTGGTCTTCAAAAATTTAACAAGAGCAAACTTATTGTCGCCAGTGAATATTTAACCGATGTAGATAATTAATAATCGGCACAACTAGCAAATTTTCAAAAATATTACATCACCCTGTCTACCTATTTCAAATTTTATGCTTCTTTTTTTCTTCAATAAAATCTCAATTCCTTACCCTGTTTTATCAATAATAATAATAATAGTAAAGCGAGAGTATATTATATCGTCTGGCTGAGATGAAAAATATGCCAGTTGTGTTGATTATTGATTTCCTACATAGTTTAAAAATGTATCTCCCCAATGAAGGCAGCCGAACAAAATAGCAGCGGATTGTTCGGAAAAGAAAACTCACCGGCAACACACAAAGCAGAGTGAAAAACTTGGGGGAAAAGACCTATTGCATTTAATCGTATTAATAACAGTGCGAGTTATTTAGTCGACAATGAAGAATTTTGTGACGGACGATCCTGTCTGCGCGAATATTCTTTAACAATTATTTAGACACTAACATTCTGTCGCAGCTCTTCAGTCTTTATTCTTTCGAATTTGCGTTTATCACACGAGAGTCTTATTTTATTAATTTACAGAAGAATTAATCCTTTATGAAATTAACGCTCGCGAAACGAGTCTCCGGCGGGGCGCAAAGACGTTGCCGAATAAATTGAAATTGCGGCACCTGCCAGCGTTAAGAGCGCAGGATCCGTACGCTCACTTTTCCGAGGATTGTCGTAGAGCTTCGAGGAGGCATAGTCAAACGTTTCGTCGCGCTCACTTCATGTATTCCCGCTGACGTAAAGGTAAACGAGACGCGGCAGGGAAATACCTGCTCGATACTCGGAAATATGACAGACAGTTTTACGACAGCTCCATTCGTAATCTCCCGAGATCTATTTGCGGCCGCGCGGTTATCAACTTTGGCTACTCTCGATGACTGTCGATCTATTTCCAACCACGCTAATGTTGCATACTTGTATCGCCCGATTGCCGACCATCCGGACAATATTACGCTACGACCGTTATAAATTACGCAAAGGCGTTACAATGCAGAAAAACGAATTGACGTTACGCGCGACGTCACAGTTCAAAGGAAGCCACTCGGGGAGATATTAGCTGCAATTGCGTGGAGAAAAGAGACGTGCGCGACGAACGCGTCTAACTTTAATCGTGCGACTTTAACGGAGAATAGAAACTGCGAGATGTATGTAATAACAATTCGCAGCGCGTAAGTCCAATAGTTCGTGAATTTAATTGTTTGATTTGCACACAGAAAAAAAAGAACATTCCTTTTTGGAAAAAATGTTTAGTCTCAACGTGAAAATCATTAAATGAGATTGTATTACGTTAAAGAAAGAGAAACTTGCTTGAATGAAGCAATTTTATATAATTCAATCAAGAAGGATGTATGCCTACTATGTTTAGAATAATTTTCTTGAATGAAAAGGAAACAGTATTGGATAGAAAATATAATAACATATTTTCAAATCGAATGTATTCTTAAAGTGACAATTACAGTATTTAAATAAGATTGTAATATTCTCGGAAAGTAAGATTATTAAATGCTTCTAAGAAGATTATAGATTGTTGCGTATATACAAAACAATGAACGCGTTAATTTGATTATACAGGGTGTCCCAGGAGGAAAAGTCAATATTCTGGGAAGCGATAGTATCGGTCATTTCAAGCAAAAATGTTCATGTGAATATATGTTTCATTTCCCACTGTTTCCGAGATAGAGCCACTCGAATGTCTCGGGTATTTACTTTTTTCTGTACACTTCACCCTTTATCCAACCTCATAAACGTCTGCGGGAATTTACTCTTACACGTCTGTTGACTGTTATGCTGATAACATTGTATAAAGGTTCAAAATGCATATTCACAAATGTTGAATACGCATATACGTTGTATGTTTATGGTTTCTGCGATGATAGTGCTACTGCTGCTGATGAAGAATACCGTCGACGCTTTCCTACGCGCAGAATTCCGAATCGTAAAGTGCTCTCCAAGGTTTTCAATACATTGCGTGAAAGTGGAACGCTCCCCAGTGTTCATGTTTTATTCTGAACGAGGACGTCAACAAAATGTGCTCTATCTCGGAAACGGTAGGGAATGGTATATATATTCATGTGAACATTTTCGTTTAAAATGACCGACACTAACACCTCCCAGAATATTGACCTTTCCTCCTGGAACATCCCGTATAAGCGTTGATCTGACAGTAATTTTTTTTTTGAGCGTCATCGATCGGACTACATTTTGCTGAAAACGCTATGAAATCAATGAGACGGACGTTATTGAAAAATTAATGAAATTTATCGAATGTATTTTCAAACCGGAAATAATTTTCCCGGTGAAACTCAACGGAATACCGTGAAATGTGAGGAAAATTAAAACGTACTGTACAGATAAGTAATGAAAAATTACATGAAATAATAACCGTAACTGGGCCAACTGAGAGAGATTTTCAAGTGCATTTCAAAATTTCATTGTATTTTCAGTTCAAATATTTTCTCCAGAGTGAAATACCTCGCGCGAAGAAGAACCGCGTCACTTCGCGCAGGGTTTACTCGGAATCCCGCACTGTTTTCGCGCTACGACGATTATAGAATCGC